TATATATATATATATATATATATATATATCTATATATATATAGATATATATATATATATATATATATATATATATATATATATATATATATATACATATATACATATATATATGATCTAAGTATATATTATTTAATTTTACACTGTTTTTAACATTTAGAATTTTTTGTTTTTTTACAGACAGCAGGGGGAGTACCTGTTATTACATGGACGGCTATGCCGGTCCTCGCGATCACATGGCCCAGGGGGGCCGAAGAGGACAGAGGGGGACTCCCTGGGCTCCCAGGTAAGTCCCCATACCGCGATCGTCTGGTGTGGGATCGCCGGTGACCGGATAAGTACATAGAACGGCGGGGACATGCTATGCCGTCCCTGGCGTTTAGAGCCGGTTCCCTAAGGACGGCATAGCACACCCGCCATCCTTAAGGTGTTAATCGATAGTAGGGACAAGCAAAAATATGTCACCTGACCATCTCGAAGCACGCAGGCTGTCCGAGTGCTCTGGTTGCAAACAGTCTTCTCTGCTCTCCTCACACTCATATCTCCTGTCACCATAAGTGACTAACTTTACAAAAATTGGCTATTGCCTTGTACCAAGCATGCCCACAATGTGGAATTTTGTCTATATTGCCCAGTGTACTTAAACCTGTTTAAGATTTCACAAACTGTTTATTATCTGCCTAGGAAGGGACAGACCCACTGGCGTACATACCAGGGTCGCAGGGGTCGCGACTGCGACCGGCCCACCAGGGGGCCCGGCCGCCCCTGCGACCCGGTATGTAGCCACAGGGCCAGCCTCTTCCCCTGGGGGGGCCCAGGAACCGACCACCCCAGGGCCCCCCTGAGGCTGGCCCTGGTAACCCGGGTGGCCGGTCGGGCGGGCGCGCGAGGGAGCACTCAGGGCTTCCTCTTCAGCTCCCTCGCGCACTGCAATGATACCGGAGCCGGAAGATGACGTCATCTTCCGGCTCCGGCATCCCTACGCGGCGCGCGAGGGAGCTGAAGAGGAAGCACTGAGTGCTCCCTCGCGCGCCCGCCTGCCTGCCCGCCCGACCGGCCACCCAGACTGCCCGCCCAGGAGCCCCACTGGACCCCAGGGAATCCCCCCAGCAATACAAAAGGTAAGGAGGCTGGGGGGATTACATAAAAAAAAAAACATGTGTTACAGTGAGTGTTAGTGTGTGTGTGAGTGTTAATGTGAGTGTTAGTGTGTGTGTGTGAGTGTTAGTGTGTGTCTGCTAGTGAGTGTTAGTGTGAGAGTGTGTGTGTCTGCTAGTGAGTGTCAGTGAGTGTTACTGTGTGTGTCTTACTGTGTGTGTTAGTGAGTCTGTTTGATGTCTGTTAGTGAGTGTGTGTTTGTCAATGAGAGTGTATGTTTTGTAAATGAGTGTGTATGTCTGTCGCTGAGTGTGTCTCAGTAAATGTGTGTGTCTGTTAGCTAGTGTGTATGCGTCTGTAAGTGTGTGTGTCTTCAGCACTTACCTTTCTCCAGTGCCGGACTCCCTTGGCGCTGGGGATCCCTCAGCCTCTCAGCTCCGAATGCGACCGCGCACGCATTCAAACCGCCCATAGGAAAGCATTACTCAATGCTTTCCTATGGACGCTCAGTGTGCTCCTCTAGCGGCTGTCAGTGAGACAGCCACTAGAGGCTGGATTAACCCTCAGTGAAACATAGCAGTTTCTCTGAAACTGCTATGTTTTCAGCTGCAGGGTTAAAAGTAGAGGGACCTGACACCCAGACAACTTCATTGAGCTGATGAGATCTGGGTGTCTGTAGTGGTCCTTTAAAGGACCACTATAGTGCCAGGAAAACATACTCGTTTTCCTGGCACTATAGTGCCCTGAGGGTGCCCCCACCCTCAGGGACCCCCTCCCGCCCGGCTCTGGAAAGGGGAAAGGGGTAAAACTTACCTTTTTCCAGCGCCAGCAGCCTCTCCTCCCGATCCTCTCTCTCCTCCCCGTCGGTATGTGCACGCGCGGCAAGAGCTGCGCGCGCATTCAGCCGGTCACATAGGAAAGCATTCATAATGCTTTCCTATGGACGCTGGCGTGCTCTCACTGTGAAAATCACAGTGAGAAGCACGCAAGCGCCTCTAGCGGCTGTCAATGAGACAGCCGCTAGAGGAAATAGGGGAAGGCTTAACCCATTCAGAAACATAGCAGTTTCTCTGAAACTATGTTTATAAAAAAAATGGGTTAACCCTAGCTGGACCTGGCACCCAGACCACTTCATTAAGCTGAAGTGGTCTGGGTGCCTAGAGAGGTCCTTTAAGTGTGTGTGCATCTGCATGCACTGGCATACATACAGGGGTCGCAGCCCTGTAACCTCTGCGACCAGGTGCCCACCGTCATGTGTTGCGGCCTGGCCAGCGCGCAGGGGGGGAGGGGGGGCCCACGGATCAATTTTTGCACTAGGGCCCCATGGGTCATGTGTACGCCACTGGACAGACCTGTCCTCTCTGATTGTTTCGCAGTTTATTAGTATTCTTATCCGTCCTCTCTTGATAAGCCCAAAAAAAAGAAAAAAAGAAAAGTGCAGTAACTCAGACAGGTTTCTGCGTACAGATTCTTGTACAATGTTTTTCTTACTATTGATGTGTTTACATGCATATGTTAAACTCAAAGCACAAATAAATAAATATAAAACAGTATTTTACCATAAATTCCTTTTTCCTTAGTGTAGGGGCAGTTGTGCCTTCGGCTGTGTGGACAAGTTGCTCCCCCCAAAATTTAAATCTTTAATTGAGATATAAGGGCACAATAGGCAGGATAATTCCTGTACCTCCATTCATTCTAAGAACCAAATGGCAACCATATACTGCAAATATAATTTAATTCATACAAAAAGGGGGAGGTAAAAAGGCAGTACTGCCACTATACTAAGGAAAAAGGAATGTACGGTGTGACAGACCCATCTGTATGGACTAGAATTGCTGTGTTCGTCTGTTTTGCCGTTTGTATGAATTTCCCCATTCGTATGCTTTGTTTAAGGGAATGTCTTTTTTTTGTCGAACAGAACTACCGAACGGACGGCCACCCAGAAGAGAAGTGTGCTGCTGGTTAACCTATTGATCCCAATTAGAACGTTGCGGTTAACCACAGACACTTCTCAATTAAAACCGAATACCGGGTGGTCGCCAGTCGTATGTCGACCACGAGGCGGCGGCCATTTTGACTATGCGAAAGCCCAGCGGTGTTCAACGATTATTTCATGGAACTAAAAACTGACACTTTTTCAACCGAACACCGCTGAAGCCGTCGACCTCCCCTTCTCAATCGACAAAAGCATACAAATACCGGCCGTTCGGGAGATTTAATAACACGAATGGACTTAACCCAGATAGCCTTCCCATGGAGTCAATCGCATACCGAAGAACTGTAATAGACTTTGACTCCATGGCGATTGAACTATGCGTATGGGATCTGAGCGCTGTTCGCCAATAATATGCACTCAGATCCAGGCTATCTGGGGATGTGTTATACAAATGCAATACGTTCGGCAGTATTAAAGTTATGGATTTTAATGTGTTTTATAACTTTGAGTTAAAATGGCGATGTGCCTCTGCTCGGGAAGATAATGGAATTACTTCCCAATTATCTCCCGAGCAGAGGGGAGGAAACTGTGATGCATGCTGGGAATATTGTGGGGATGTATGTCCAGAATGTCCCCATGTCTTTCTGTCATTTCAGTCTCCCATTTGGTCCCCTAGGGGAGTGTCCACCAAATGGGAGACCTGCATAAATACGGGCAGGTAGCCCACAGTAAACTCAGTTCGTGTTTTACCCTCAAAACGGAGCTTGGTCTCGTTATTGGAGGGGGGGGATTTTATTACCGGCGCCTAAAGACTGCTTATTGGAATTATTTGCCGATTGGAAACTATTGCCGTTCGGCTGCTATTGGCGATTCGTGCATTTGGAGCTCGAGAAGGGAAAGAGCCGCACAGGTACCGTTCGGGAGTTTGGAGTGTTCCCTAGCTGGCGGCCTCTGCCTGAAGCTCCTTTTCGCGCAAAAGCAGCAGAGTTAGAGAATATGTCCGGCCTGTAATGCTTAACGAAGGTATTGAACGATGATCAAATAGCCGCCTTACAGATGTCTTCCGGAGAAGCTGAAGGTCTTTCTGCCCAGGAAGTAGCCATCGCCCTTGTGGACTGTGCTTTTACCAGAACATTGAGAGGAACACGACAGGTTTCATAAGGCAGCTTAATAGCTTCTGTTAGCCACCTGGCGATTGTAGGTCTGGAGGCTTCTCTACCTTTACAGAAACCTTGAAATGTGATCTAAGATTCTAAAGTCTTGCGATCTCTGAAGATAGATTTCCAAACATTTCTTAACATTTAGAAAAGGCCACGTTCTGCCTCTGAAGATTGAGTCTGGCAGAAAGAAGGCAAAACAATAGGGTGGCCCATAGTTCTTCTGGAAATAACTTTAGGTAAAAAGGAAGGCCTGGTATGCAAGACCACCTTGTCTTGGTGGAATATGGTAAACTCAGAAGCTAAAGAAAGAGCCCGCAGTTCTCCTATTCTCTTTGCGGAAGTGATAGCCACTTAGTGAAAGCCTTTTCAATTAAACATTATGTAATGGTTCAGATGGAGGTTCACAAAGAGCCTGGAGGTCCAACGACAAATCCCAGGTAGGAAAAGCTAGAAGTTTAGGAGGTTGTTTCAGCAAGATTGACTTAAAATATCTGTGGATAAAATGGTTGGATGCTAGATCACGCACAAGGAAGTTATTTTAATGCTGAAATCTGGACTGACACACCTTGTCCAGCTAAAAATTATTCCTGCAGGAAAGACAAAATGTCTGGAATAGAGGGATCATCTGGACGGCAGCCTTTCAGAACACATCAGTGCAGGAACTTTATCCAAATCCTAAAATAAATCTTAGTCTTGGATGAACAGACAGATGCCAGAACCACTTCACATAAATTATCTGAAAGCCCTTGCTCACGGAGGATCATCCTTGCAGCAGCCATGCAGTCAGTTTAAACATTTCCAGGGTCTCTCCTGGAAGATCTAGATTCTTTGTGACGTTGTCTGATATTGGAAGTACCCAGTGTGAAATACGCTCTATTTTGGAAATGCAGCTCTGGTTTGGTCAAAAGGGAACAACGGTTCGAACCCTTGCTTTGTCCCATCTGATCTTTTGAATTATCCTTGGTATCAAGGCTACTGGAGGGAATACATATCCTATGTTGTAGTTCCATGTGAGGGACAGGCAGTCTAAGAAGTCTGGAAAATCATGTGCCTGGATAGAAGCAAAGCATGGGACTTTCCTGTTTTTTTCTTGTGTCCATTAGATTGATATCTGGTAAGCCAAATCGGAGTACCAATCTCAAGAACATCTATGGTTCTAGAGACCAACATTGTCTGCGATGAAGTCCTGAGTGCCTCTTATGAGTTGTTGAGCGTGAGTTTACTTTTGTCTGTGCCCAAGACATGATACAGTAGCACAGATCCTGCAAAGATTTTACTTTTGTGCCTCCTTGACTATTTAAGTAAGCAACCGTGGTGGCGTTGTCTGATTGAATCCTTAGCGCTTGGTTTGCAATGGCAAGACTGACAGCAACCAGAGCATTCATTACTGCCTTCACCTCTCAGAGGTTGGAGGACTCTCTTGCTTCTTTTGAAGTTCCCATGACATAATTGTGAATCCAGATGCACACCCCAACCAGTTTATTAGGCATCTGTTATAATGTTAATCCAAGTTTTCAGTTGTAATGTAAGGCCTCTGGAAATGTTGTTTGCACTTTTCCACTTCACCAATTTAGTGGTTTTCTTACTGCTTTTGATAGGCAGATTACCGAATCCAAGTCTTCCCTTTTTCTTGATCATTCTGTTAGTATGTTCCATTGTAATGGTCTGATTTCTGCTTTCGCCCATTCAACCGCTGGGATAGCAGAGGTGAGAAGGCACAGGACACTCATGGCCTGTCTGATGGTGCAAACGTCTTTCTTTTGTAAGCTTGAAAGTTGCTGTAATGTTTCTTTAAGGCCTCACCTCTTGTTGCACATCTAAAATGTCTTCCTCCGAGGTTTTCACGCAGTCTGTTACTGCCTGGACCTCCGTATACATCATTGCCACACATCATGGACATCTGTTTCAGCTCTGCCAGGAGGTTCCTAATGTCTAGTTTGGTGGCTGGGGTCAGTGCATCAGGATCCGACTGCACGTCCATGGGTGACTGTGGGTCAGTGATTTCCCCCAGTGGTTGTTCCGAGCCTGCAGAGCTGGTGTCCCGCTCAGGTATTGCGGCCATCTTTGAGGCCGCAGGGCGCTGAATCCTTGTGCTTATGTCCTGGGTGTTTGTACCTCCACCTGTGGCTGCTCGCTGGGATTTCAGTCCCGTGTTTGCCGGGTCGGTTGGACTGGGCTCCGTGGGTAGTGTGGTGACCGGGAACAACGCGTTGTGTAACGCTGCTACGAGGGCCTTGTGTGCAGGGTAGGCCTTGATTTTGCGGCGTATTTTCCTGCCCGTCTGTGGTAATCGGAATGGCATTAGTCGGTCAGTGCTGTGCCCCCTTTGCTCTGCTCTAAAGTTCCTCGGGCTGGTTCAGCCTGTCCGGCGCGGTTTGCCGTTGATATTCTCCGGTTTGGCCGGAGCTCACACGATTTGAGTCCGCTCAGGTCCGTGGCTAAGCTGCGCCCACTCCTGTAAACTTCTTTAAGGAGTTAAGGCAGATACTGCTCCTGAAAACCCTCAGAGCTTATCTGGAACCTTAACACGTGTCCTTTTTAGAGGGAGAACTAGGTTGAACTGAAGACTGCACTGATAGAGCGGCCTATCTTAAGTCAACAAAGGTCTAATGTAAGCTGCTCTGGAACCAAATCATAAATGATTTTTTCATAAACTTTTTTGGCTTCGTCTGAAGCTTCTTTAGTACAAATACCACAGGTAACTGGTAAAAGTTGGGAACAGAAGGAACACATCAAATGCCTTGTTTTAGCCATGCATGTTCCTGTGCAAGGATAGAGCGAAAAAAAAAAAAATCCTTGCTGGAGAAGTAAAAATTTGAATCAAGAAAGAGAAGAGAACATTAAGGGATAAACTAAAAAGTCTTACCTTAAAGGCCCCTTAGTGTGCTGGAGGGCAAGTGACACTGCAGGAACCTGGCAAGCAGGAAGTTGCTGCTTTTTTTTTTTTTTTTTTTATAATTCTTTATTTAGGTTATGTCACTACCACAACAGCTGGTGCAATCAAAGCATGAAACAGAGCTAAACACAAATGTGGTTTCTGATACATGGCACTTTTTTTTTTTTTTTTAAAGAAAAGTAACGGTTGCACTAAAGATTCTGGTGTATATTAGCAATGTCGTACCGTCTTATATGTGGTTAACGAGTTAGAATAGAGTTGAAGGGAAGTTAAGGATACAACATGTGCGGATGTGCGCTAACCACTCTATACATGCAAGTAGTGTGAAGGCTTTGCATTTAAAGAGAGAATAATAATGAAAACAAAAAAACAACTAAAAAACCATAAGAACAACATGCATAGGAGTTTGTGTGTTACATTCCGCTTCATGCCACCGTCTAGGTAAGTGCATCTGGTCAGTTATGCCCGGGCACATTTCCACTAGGCCACTTCTTGTAGGAAGAGATGCCCACAGTGCTGTTAATTATGCCCAGCTATCGCAACATTATGCATGGGTAGTAAGTTAGACTAGATACAGGTGGGGGATAGGGTGGGGGAAGGTGATTTGGTCGATGGACCTTCCATTTTGAGGGGTGAAACAAGCATGCTAGCACTTAGTGACAGTGACATTACTGTGGCAGTGAAACAAGGTAATTATTTATGAATGTGCAGTTTTTTTATCGTTTATGCTCAGGTGGTATGCCGATAGGTATGCATACCAAGTACAAGATGTGCAAGGGGGGCTAGGGGGAGGTACATCTGGTTGGCTTGAAGCCTCTGCACTGCGGATGACAGTCTTGGGATCGCTTATATGGGGTACCCCAATATATGTCTCGTGGTGGAATTTAACAGATGTATGGGCACGTTATTGAAGCCTAAAATGTAAGCAGAAAGTGAAACAGTAACAGGCATAACATCATGCAAACAGTGTGCTGGAGTTTGTATAGGGCTCTCTGAGGAGACCAACAACGGGAGTTTAGGTGCTGTTAACCGCCTACAGGGGCTCAAATGAAGTTGTGTTGGCCGGGTCCCAAATGTGCTTTGTAGCCGTTGCCGCTGACCCCCCTGCGGTGGTGGTTAGAGAATCTGATGGGAGACCCAGAGTCTCCAAAATGGCTGCTGCCCCATTGAGATCCTGGACTGAGTAGCAAATGCTTTCTTGTAGGACCACCAGGGTGTGGGATCTTTTCCATCTATAAGATATGTCCCGTGCCTGGAGGAGTGATGTAAAGGGCTGCCGTGTTTTGCGCCAAGCTAAAGTGGCTCCTGCTAAGCACGCATAGAGTGTAAGGGATGAATTCTCGAAGTTGTAGAGGGACTTCCCCCTGAGAGCACCCATTACTGCTGCCTTGTCCTGCCCATTTTGGAGACGTACGATTAGGTCTCGTGGTGTCGTAGGCTGGTTCCTTCTTAGGTCTCGGAATCCGGAACATTCCCTCCCAACCTCCACCAGTTTGGGGGCGTAGTCTTGCACTCCGTAGATGTCTCAGGAAGTGTGGTAATTCCGCTTCGGGGACCTTCGCCACTACCCCTCTGATGTTGAGGTTATTGCTGCGTCTGGAGTCCTCCAGTATTGCATGAAGTGTTTAGAAATGAAAGCATGTCTTACTGGGTTTTTCCACTCTCTCTGTAGTAGTTCCATAACCCTTGGGTGCATAAGAAAACCTTTTACCTTAATTTTCCTAAACAGCCAGATACTTCCTTGATAAATTTCTGTATTTCCTGTAATAGAAATCCCTCATCCATACTTGAGGCCAGACTGGATACTTCCGAAAGGGAAGAAGATGGAACATGGAACAACTCAGGAATGAGTTATTTCCTTTTGCTTTAATTTTTCCAGCAATTCTGTAGAGCATTGATTACAGGTCTTTTTTCTACACCAGTCAGGAAGAGGGACCGCACATTCTGGCCACCACAAGGGTTTCGTTTTGCATGTGGCTTTTTTAGGGATAGGAACGGACATCTTATCCTTTTTTGGTTTATCCAGGGAAACAGGACTGGACATATTCTGTTAAAGACAAATGAGAAGAAAACACACATTTTCTAAAGTTAGGAGGCTGCATAGAGAGATGAAGTTTTCAAGGAAGATTTAAAGTTCCTTCCTTTAAAAACCTCACCACCGTGTAGGAGGGCTGGTGACACAGAGGACCTGTACTGGCAACCACCCCCTGGGATCAGACAGGTCCTGCACAGCTTTAAATCCCCAAACATTTTGGATTTGGCTTCAAAATTTTCAAGGTTCCATTCTGCGCATGTGATGGAAACATCAGTGGAACACAGTGCAACCTGGGTGTGAGTTCCACTGCTGTGATCCTGTCTTGCATAGTAGGAAGTCCGCCCGGGACCTCCCAGGATATGGCTACATAAGCCGGCTTCCAGTCGCGTTCCGTAACGCTACGGAGAGGAAGCCTTCACCGCTCATCACACACCCAGGGAGCTTTTGGGCACTCACCTTCCTGGTCAGCAGCCTGTGCTGACTGCACCAATCTTTTAACATTCTGATCAGGAGGAGCCTGTCCGTCCCGTCAATTGGGATAAGAAGAACAGGGGAACCTTGGAGATACAGGGATTATAAGGGCACAGAAGGCTGGATATCTCAAAGATTTAAATTTTGTGGGGAGCTTCTTGTCCACAGCAGAAGGCACAACCCACTTTTTGCAGTACTGCCACTATATGAGAGGAAAATAATAATACAATAAATATTCATGTTTTGGCACTCAAAAAAAAATCTTTACAAGAATTGACTCATATCTGGCACTGCAAAGAAGCATAAATAAAAGACAACTTACACAACTAAAATTAAAAAAAAAAACTTTTATAATACACAAACAGATTCATGAAAGCTATCCTTTAAGTTAGAGGAAACAAGTCAAGGATTTTACAGTTAGGCTTTTGATACGTGACTAAGTTAATTATAATAAAAAAAAAAAAAAAAAAAAACAGACTATGGAAAATTTCTTTAACCTGTTCCCTACCCATTGCCGACCTGCATCTTTGACCTACAGCTCAAATCACTTCTCCAATGGAGGCAAAGTCGCAAAATACAATAGTGACCTCAAAGTTCTTTATCCTGTATAACAGGGAAAAACACACACACACGATAGGTGTGTGGCTCACATTGTATATAGTCTCTTTTGCCAGCTGATTACACAAATTAAGTTCATTGCATCAGTAGGTGGATTCTTATAGACCGGTTCATGGATTAAATATTTACTGGATCTCTCCGATGTACAACCTCTTATCACTGGAGGCTGACAGGACTGAAATTGGAAACAGAAATTGTGATTACTGGAAAGTAGATTGAACTTGACATTTTTTTCATATATTAATTTCTTACCACCAACATATTTAACTCCCCACTTTTGATATTTATATAGTGCTAGAATACACCCACCCCCTTAAATCTTAATTAATGGAGGATGACTGTAATCAGGCAATGTAAATATTACCACATCATACTCACCAATTGGTTCATCGGGATGGAAGGCCACTTCATTCACAGACCCAGCATGACCAGGGAGCTTGTAGAGAATTCTTCGGGATGTAGTATCCCAAACATAAACAAATCTGCACAAGGAAAGAGGGCAAATTAAGTGTTTACTTTATGCAAATGTAATATTTTGACAATATGAAACTAAAATGTGAAAGAATCGGAAGTTGTGGTTTGGAGTCTGTACCTGTCTGCTGATCCAGCTGCAATTTTGCTGCCATCAGATGACCATGAGCAGCGCAAAAGATTCTGGAAGAGATGTGTGGTACGTCAATCTTTGTCTTACATATGATTAAAAACAGTGCAAACAAAGCAATATGAACATTTAAATACTTGCCTTCTCAAAATTGTGTACATTTCCTTGAAATACTTTCACACATCTCTCTTTGGGTGCAAAAGGTCTAACATCCCACACACGGACTGGGGAAAAATAAAATAATTTTAAGTAATTTTTTCAACACATTATGTGTGACCTTTTATTTATCAACCATAATACTTTTCTGCATTGCTCAGCACTAACCCCTTTGCTGTATATCCACTTGGACCATCACCACCTTACCAAATGTCCTTCACGTCAGCCCTAATCAACTTTAATATCGGATGTGTTGCCAGAACCTTATCATCCACCTAGACCTGCATGCTATTGATTGTACAGTCCATGAACTACAACTAACTTCTATTATATTCCCCATTCTCATAATTACACAATGATAAAAAAAAAAAAAAAAAAGGTTTCAGGGTATTACCTGTATTATCCATCGCATTGGACAGGAGATAAGAGCCCTCAGAACTGAGACTAAGACCACTAACAGAATCACCATGCCCTCTCATTGTGTACATCAGTTTGTTCTGTCGCAAATCCCAGACCTAAAATGGACAAACATTATTAATAAAGTTGTATTAGATGAATGTCCTAAATTGTTTAAATACTCCATACAGAACATACCACTTAACGCCAATTTCTTTAAAGATATGCTTACTCGGTCAAATAGACTGAAGGCAGTTTCATGAACCACATTATCCTATGCTCTCAGCAAAGCAGTAGTCCTGGGAGGAGAGAGTGCTAAGTCCAGGAAGTATGTGCAGAAGTCAGACACTGCAATCAAAACTTGGATTAACTTGTATGGCCGCAATCAACATCTCCACTTTATGCATGGAGATGCTGAATGCTGCCCATAGAGATACATTACATCAATGTATCTCTATGTGAAACGCTGACTGGCGTAGGGCCACAGTTTGCTGCTTAGACACACTCGCCTACCAGTGCTTCTCGATGGGAAAGAGGGGGGCTATTTTTGTGAACTATATTTCCCATCTTGCTCAGCCAACCAAATGACCAAATCAAGTGGTCTCTCAGTGCCACAAGACACTTTCTATATCCTGCCATTCAAAAGGTCCTGGATGTTTGGAAGAACTTGATGTTTGGAACAATTCAGAAAAGTGTGGCCTACTAAACTGCATTTACTTACCTTAATATCGTTATCAATGCCTCCTGAAATGATCTGGTCACTTGTATCATTGAAAGTAACCGACAACACCTGGTATGTATTTTGGAAGGTCTGCACAGATGCTTTTTTCCTGAAATCCCACAGCTGTTAGAGGTATTAAAAAACGCAAATAAAGATAAGTAAGAATACATGCATGTAATGCATAAAGTGTAGCTAGTCAGCTTTTTATTATTGTAATTTCCTCCTCCTTCTGCTATGTATTCATTTCACTCAAACATGCCCAATACCAGTCAACTCCTTCTTTGCCCTTGATTCCACCATGCATTGACTGAGACAAGTAATTCCACTCTATACTTGCCAGCATAATGAAAGACTCTAGCACAAGTTTTGATACACTGTACTGTACTTACCTTAACGGTACCATCATCACTGCCTGTGCAAATCAGCTGAGGACCCCGCCTTGCAGGATAACAGGAATTGACAAAGGAGGTATGTCCCTTTAACCGCTTCACTCTCTCCCCTGTCTCGCAGTCCCAAATAGCGACTGTTTTATCGGTAGATGCCGAGAACAGCAAACTAAAATGAAAACACAAAAAGGGAGTCCTCTTTTTTTTTTTTTTACCTAAACAATATTTTAAATGCCCTGTCTAGGACTCTGTATACTAAATTTGCTAGATTTATTCAAAGCATGTGTGCACACAATTATTTTATATAGGGCAGACAGAACTTTATTTTGAAATCATCTTTATTAATACATAACCTAATATTCAACTACATCCCATGGTGTCTATGCGTAGGTGTCATGTTTTCTGTGAAAATCAAGGCCATATTTCAGAGCATGTGCGCTATAACCTCTACTTTATCAAAACAGACGTGCAAATTTAAAATACAATAAGATATTATATTTAACTAAGGAGAAGAATTCCAGTTTCTCACTTTTCATTTTAACACTAATTTCTACCAATATAATGAGAGGTATAAATGTTACCAAACCAGATTTGACTGCACTTAAGTATGCTTTTGTTCATAAGTTACAGTAATAAACAATCGGTTTTGACTAACACAAATTATTGTATTGTTCTTGCACATATTTAATATATATCATTCAATTATTCATAGCACAGGTTGGAAAAAGTATGTGAAACCCTACGTCGGGGGGTAGGGAACCTCGACACTCCAGATGTTGTGGCCGTCTTCTCCCCTGATGCTTTGCCCGCATAATGGCTGTCAGAGCATTATGGGAGATGTAGTCCAACACATCTGGAGTGTCGAAGGTGGTCTAACCTCGCCCTAGGCAAATTACTTTTTACATTGGGTTTAAAATTCACTTTGTCTTTTATCAGGACTATTCACCTTTGTAAGAACTCAATGTGTAATACCTCAAGTTATTCTACAGCAGGGCGCTCAGAACCGGAGTACTCAAATTTGTCCCAAAAGGAAAACATTTTGTGGGCTACTTGTGTACATGTTATATGGGTGCATTGTTTTAATAACTTGATGTGAACAATAACTCACAACAAAAGAGCTCTCAAAAGACCTGTGATCAATAATTGTTGCGTTACATAAAGCTGTAAAGTGTTACAAAGTTATCTCAAAGTGTTTAGATATTCATTGGTCAATGTTAGACACATTTTCTATAAATAGAGAATTTAGTACTGTGGCTACTCTAGCCACAAGTGGCCATCCAGCCAAGATTACTCAAAAGGCACAGCAAAATTCTCAATGCAGGCATCCCAAATCTCCCAGTAGTAATATGGTGAATGCTGCTCCCTGACACCTGCAAGTCATACACAATATCCCAGAAATCACACACACACTCTGATGTGTGTGTGTGATTTCCATTATATTGTGTATGATTTGTGCCCCATAACAGCCCCATATTACTCATTAAACAGTGGCCTGGTCGGATGCCGGTCCTTTAAGAGGCGACCAAGCCCCTGTGATGTCAGCCAGCAGGGAGGAAGTGACAGCCATTTACTCCCTGCTTCACAGAGAGCTGCCTGCCCAGGAGGACTGGAGAGAGGAGACAGCAGTATAGAGGCAGGAGTCAACAGCGTGGGGGTACAGGAGAGGCTGGAGTGAGCTGCTGCATGCTTGATCTCATCAGCTTCAGCCAGAGCTCCAAGCAAGCCACCCTCCTGGACACAAAGGTAAGCTAACAGGAGGGTGGCTGAAAATATATAAAGCATGACCTTTGTGTGTGTGTGTGTGTGTGTGTGTGTGTGTGTGTATATGTATATATATATATATATTAATGTCCAATAGAAGATGATATCAACACCTTCAAAACAACAAGTCCCCTCCCTCCCCCTCCCAACAGTGTACTGCATTCCCCTCACACTCAGCAAAAGCAATATATAGTTTTGTGTACAATAACACAAGTAAAAAATAAATAAAGTGAATATGAAAATCTCTCGTGTTGCAGTTTTTTTTTTTTTTTTTTTTAATATTCAGGAGCGTAGTGAAAATGTGCATTACTTTAAATATCCTTTCCCTGAAATAGGTAACCCACCTTCCATCTGTATTGTAGTGAAGCTCCATCACTGCCCCACTGTGCCCTTTCAAGGTTGCATAGTTGTCACATTCACCATATACATTCCAAAGTACTGCGAGACATGAAGGAAAGGATACATTAATGAAACATTACCAGAATAGCAACAAATAGCGCAATATTTTTCATATACCAACCATTCATTACTATGCATTTCCAGCAATGTACACACAATGTTATGCTTTCCTATTTACAATGCTTTTTTGCTACAGTTTTGTATAAATAATAAAAAAATTTAATAAAAAAGTAGCCGGACCATTTTTTTTTTGTGGCGCAAGTGATAAACATGATACCACGACAGTTATAGCAGGTGAGTCAAAACAATTAGAATAAACAGTGGCGTGGTATCAAATACATTTGCACAATTTTGTAAATACTATAACATGATAATAAAGATGGTGTGGTCAAGAAAGGGTAAATATATGAAAACATGCTGGTATCAGTAGCCTAGGACATTAAGCGAGACCACACACTTTAAGCTACAAGAGACAATAGATTATGTGGATGTGTCTACTAAAAGTAGAGAATGTTTGGGCAAACGTGCGGAGTACAGGTCAAGAACGTTATTTAGGCAGTTAGGTTGGGTGAGACACGTAATGCTATATGTGTGCACGAGAGTGCGTCTATCATATGTGGGTATGCAGAAAAGCACAAACTGAAAAACATAGGCTATGCTAAAAATTGCTTGGCACTGTAGTCTGGGGCTCTAGGAAAAGGTCACATTAAGTCTTAAGTGTAGCTGCAATGAGTAGGTAAGTCCACAGGTCTGTGTGAGGTGCACATGAATACGTTGACGAGAGCACTGGAGACACGGCATACTATGCATGTGACTGTAATCCGACTCCCTCTGCTGGGAAACAGTTTGAGCCCGCTGGTGGGCCTCGGAGGGCCGCTGTTGCACAGGTAAGAGAGAGGGTATCCGCCAGCCTCAGGCTGGTGTATAAGGTGAGTCCACATGTGTGCGGTGTTCGAGGCTTAGAACTCGATCCGAGCAGGTTGCTCCAGATACCTAGTGCAATCCGGTATATCCCCCAACAGTCCAAAGTGGGGGTGAAGACAAGAGAGCTGAGGGATCCCTGTGGGGGTTCGCGAGCGAGGAAAGCGGCTGCCTCTCCCCGGCTCGACCCTCGGTAGATCACTCCTGGTTCTGGGCGTTGATAGATACGAGTCAGGTACCGATGTGTTCGCCCGGGTGTCCCCTTCTTGCTGGTAGCCCTTCATAAGATGGACATGCTGAGTTTTTTTCCTGACAATTTTAATACATTTGCTTTCTTAACAGGTTGCTACAGTCATCAGAACCACTAAAATTTTATGAGTGGTTCTGGGACTTAGAACCTATCCCTGCGTGCTGAACAGTGTAAACCAGGGGTAGATCCCAGGAGGGTTTAAAACTACAGCTTCCATAATGTTTTGTCATTCTAAAGGCATACAAAGCATCATTTGTAGTTTTAAAACCTCTGGGGATCTGCCTTTTGGGCACCCCTGGTATTTTCTGCGAAAAGACACTGTTTACACTGCTCCATAATAATCACATCAAATGGCTTTCACTTGAGGGACTTCCTGGGTTTGGTCCTGCAAAGATGCTCCCCATAGAGATGCAGATTCAATGCATATTTATGAGGCAATGATGATTGGTGCAGTGAGATTTGCCGCTTATGCGCACTAGCCTCCCAATGCTTCGCTATGGGGAAGCACTAAATTGGCTAAAATAATCAAGATGGTATAAGTCTGTGATGTTGGGCAGCTGAGAGAAGACTGGGACAGCAAGGAAGTAAAGTTGAGTAATAATATATACTTTATTGAATATAGTTAAGAAAAATAATATAAAAATATAAATAAACACGACATTCTAAGCATATCATTGCAGGCCACTATATAAATAAACAGATAGCAACATGGATGGCTACATGCATAAAAAGGAATTATACAACATGTGTTATAGCCTCCATACAAATAGCTGTGTTAACACAATCTGTCTGGTACGAATGGTGAACGGGCCAGTGTTCGTATAAGGGTCATAATTTCAGTCTACATCAGTAAAAGTTTTATTTGATGACGACTTGTTCACTTTTCGACAAATCAAATGCATTCTGCCTTGTACAGAAAGGATATTCAACATACTTATGCAGTGTGCGAGGATGTTAATCATCAAGAACTGAGTTTGACTCTGTTGTGGGTGAAGCAGCACCATCTTGTGGCTGTCAAGGAGACAGCCACTATAGGTGAAGCCAGCCCAACAATGTAGACATTGCCAGATCTCCAAACCAGCAATGATTTACATTGAGGAGCTGAAACCAAGATTATTATTATCGCCATTTATATAGCGCCAACAGATTCCGTATCGCTTTACAATATTATGAGAGGGGGGATTTAACTATAAATAGGACAATTACAAGAAATCTTACGGAAACAATAGGTTGAAGAGGACCCTGCTCAAATGAGCTTACAGTCTATAGGAGGTGGGTTATAAAACACATTAGGACAGGAAATAGTAATCAAATAAGGTGGGAGTAAAGCACAGCTGGAGAAGAGAGTAGAGTGCTGCCCTTTAGGAGAGAGCAAGAGACAGGTATGTAAGGTAGAGGTTACTCTGGGAGGCCATAAGCTTTCCTAAAGAGATGGGTTTTAAGTCACTTTTTAAACGATTAAAGACTAGGGGAGAGTCTGATAGCAGTAGGCTGCACGGGTGCAAGCAACTGACAGAAGAAGGTTACGAGCTGAGTGGAGAGACCGAGAAGGTGCATACCTATGGATCTGTGAATAGATATAAGAGGGGATAGAATTGGTCAATGCTTTATAGGTATGGGTTAGCCCTTTGAATTAACTCCTATAGGATACAGGAAGCCAATGTAAGTACAGAGGGGTGAGGTGTGAAAGGACCAACTAAAGAGGAAAATCAGTCTGGCGGCAGCATTCATTACAGACTGTAGAGGAGCAATATGGCTTTTGGGAAGACCAATTAGGAGAGGGTTACAATACTCCATGCGGGTTTGATGAAGTTGTTGTTAGTGGTCCTTTAGTGGCAATTATGGCATCATCTGCATAAATGTGCACAGCTGAGATTTTGGAAAAGGTAGATCATGTACATATAGAGAAAATAGAAAAAGAACAAGAGTGGAACATTTGCCATAAACACAATTATTATTTTATTATTTATATAGCGCCAGCAAATTCTGTAGCGCTGTACAATTGGTGGACTAACAAAACAAGTAGCTGTAACCAGACAAATGGATGCACAGGAACAGAGGGGTTAAGGGCCCTGCTCAATGAGCTTACATTCTAGAGGGAGTAGGGTATAGTGACACAAAGGGTATAAGTAGGGGTAATGAAATAGGTTGCTTGAAAAGACAGTTGCAGGAGAGGAGTCAAGCAACACTATCAAATTATATCTGACAGGGATACAACACCATATACTCACACTTTGGCCAAACAACCACAATTTTCTATCTACTTACCACATCAAAACCATACTTAAAGGCATTAAAAAAAAAATCAAAAACCATGCCAACATCTTCTAGATCACCTATCCATAGTCAACTCTTCAAATCATTATCAGACTATATAAAAAAACAAATCATTATACAAAACCTTTTGAAGCACATACCAATCATGTAATTAAAACCGCTATCTACGTAGCTTTCTATGGGTTCCTTAGACCCGGAGAGTTTACCACCATGAATGTCACTTCTCAAGGCGGCCTTAAGAGATCCCAAATTGTTAAAATACAGGACCACTACATATTGCCCCTCAAACACACCAAAACTGCACCAAGGGACCATCTAGTAACAATACCCTATTACCCTACCGGCAACAAATGGTGCCCGGTGCAAGTCCTAGATACATTCCTAACCACAGTTCCAGGGTCTCCAAATCAACTTCTGCTCACATCACATGGTAAGGTTTTCGCTACCAGTAAATTCATGATGTATATAAAAGAGTATTGCTGACTAAGTTAGGTCTTAATCCATCCCACTACTCAGGACACTCCTTCCGCATTGGAGCAGCCACCACTGCTTCCAGCAGAAACACACCGGTACATATCAAAACATTGGGACGGTGGAATTCATCAGCATATACCAGATACATACATCATCCAATACAGGAAATACGTGAAAGCATTTTGTAACCTGATAATGTGATGTATCTTATAGGATTGTCCTTGTAGGCTGAATAAATCTTGCATGGTATACTATTTTTGCCCTCTTTATTACAGGCCTACCGCATCAGTTTCAGCACACCACAACCGACTGTTCACATTTTTCTATCTCATCATAAATTATGTTATATAAGTTACATACTTTCATTATGGCTTTCTATGCCCTGAACACACACACACATATATATATACATCCAGCAAAAAACAAATGTGAGGAAGGCTGAACTTGATGGACGCAAGTCTCTTTTCAGCTATGTTAGAGATATATATATATATATATATATATATACACACACACACACACACACCCAGAGTAAATGATGGCAAGTAACATTTACTTACAGATTAGCCTGTCAAATCCTGCAGAAGCCAATGTGAGCCCATTTGGATGAAATTTAGAACAGTAAACTTCTCCTTCATGGCCAGAGAGTAGCATAATTGGAGCTTGGAGACTGGATGTTCTTGGTGGACCCTTGAGAGAAGAAAATTAGATGAATGCCAACATGGATTAATATTCTTCTATTTACTTTCAATAAGCAATTATTTTACTATTGGAATAAATTTTCTACAATAAAATTACCCATAGGACAATTTATACACATGGCTTATAGAAATAATATCAAAGTATTTAGCCTAGATTACAGCAACTTGGCAAATATAGCAAAATCATTAAAAAAAAAAAAAAAAGGAATAACAGCTATTGACCAAGTCAGTGATCACCGTAGCTTATGTGCCCTTCGGAAACATACTATTTTGAGACAAATTGTAAAAATATACTAGTTGCAGCTAAAAGTCAATGTGGTTACTTATAAAAATTGTTATGTTTACGCATTTTTTTTCTGGAACTTTTCCTATTTGTGCCATAATATTCTTTATTGTATTTCTTATTTCCTTTTATTTTCCCATTCCAATTTCATTATTTTTTCTTCCTTCACAAACTTGTGTCTTCCAATGTACTGGAACAATGCAATGAAACACAATGGTATTATTCCCCTGTTATTGTTATTAGTAATTTTTTAATTTTATTATTGTGTTATCGAAAATTCATTAATAAAATCATTTAAAGAGAAACACAATGGTACAAAACAAAAACGTTTTGTGTAAAAGTTGACCTTTCTTTCTGACATGTTTTTGCTACTATCATCATCAACAGCAGCAGCAGTTTTCTACGTTCTTTTTGTTTAATATATATTATATATATAAAAAATAAAAATAAAAAACACTTTCAAAATGGCAAATGTGTCTTTTTTTCCCCCCCCTAGTAATATTAACTTATATTATGTAGTACCACCTTGTTGCGAATGTAATTATTGATAAAATCAAATGAATAAAGAGCGGAATAACAGTTTTATACATAAGAAAATAATGTACTTGTAGAAAATTAGCCTGAACATGAACGCTCCTTTGTTTTGTTAACATGACCTCCAATGTTGGCAAGTATTAGGAAAACATGTTTTATGTGGAATGGATATAGCTAGACCATAACAAGATCCTGTGTACCAACTCTTTTGTAACACTATCATGGAGAACTACAGGCTTATGTAGGATAGAATGATAAGTTTATGATGTTCCATGTAAGAGACAGAAAAGTATTGTTATTTATTGAAAAAAAAAGAAGGTTTAGAGCTCATTTAAAGTGGCTATTGATACAGTATTTATCTTTGCAGTTTTTTTTTGTATACATTCCCACATATCTACTAACTTCATATTTCCAACTATTCTTGTTCGTAAACATTTCTTATCTGTAAAATATCTGCATCTACAGCTCACATGCAGGGATATGCAGTAAAGTTTGAATTATCAGGAACTGAAAGTGAATTCCAAATTATAAAAGGTTACTCAAAAGTTCCATAACAGCTTTGCATTTGCATTATTGCAAATGTGATGATACATAATGTGTCCTAAACCTACGCTCTACTTCAGTCATTTGAAACGCTTACTGGTTGAGCAATGTCAAGTTTGTTCAAGTTTTGTATGCCATATGCAAACAATTTGGATTGAGCTCCATAATTTCTGAGCTCTCATTTAAGAATGTCAATAGCCCAGTTCAATAAACAGCAAATTGGGCTGTGGAAACGGATAGCAGCCATGCCATGAGTTTACAGATCCGTTACACTGAACCCTGTGTAATTTGGATGCTCCTGACTGAAGGGATTCATCCTCTGTATGAAGAGGACTGCCTGCAACTGCATGTGTAACAAGCAAACAATAAAATCTGCTGAGAACTTTGGTGGTATCTTTTTGGGGTTTTTCCCACATACTCTGTCAGCTCTGCCTAAAAATAAATACCCACATGATTTATAACTAAAGGCTTGCAAAGATACAAAAAGAGGTAGTTATACACAATAGATATGGAAATCCAATCACCCAAGACTGTTGTCATGCACATTTGTGTGCCAGGTATAGTTTGCTCTTCTTTTGAGCCCTGGTGGCATAGAGAAATTATGTATACATGAAGTGGGAGGGGGGTGGGGGGGAAAATCACATATGCCAATTCTGCACCAAGCAGGATTAGGCCCCACTGCAAAGGTCCAAGAGAGTTGAGAGCCATGCAAGAGCTCTACTCACAGCGCACAGACTAACTGGATCCTACATAACATACTCCACAGGGCCACCTCTTTAACCCCTTAAGGACCAAACTTCTGGAATAAAAGGGAATCGTGACATGTCATACATGTCATGTGTCCTTAAGGGGTTAAGGGAATGAATTAAAAATTATTATATATTTAAGAGGCGCTTGTACACTTCCCATTCACTTGACATATGAGGCATGTAGTGACCCACACTAGCCTACACACGCAGCCATCCATTTACACACAGTGAGCCTGCTAACACACACACACACACACTGCACACACACTGCACACACACACACACACACACACACACACACACACACTGCACACACACCCTGTGATTGGAGACACGCGTGCCTGTTGATTATTTTGTGTACTGGGGTAGGACTGCACTTATCTCTTGATTAGACTCCTATTAGACATCTGGCAATCTCTGTTGTTATCCTAAACCCGCTTTGAATTTCCAGTAAGTCTCATGTTAGTAAATACACGTGACACTGTCAATAATAATAATAATAATCCCCACTCCAATGCTTTCTTACCGCGGCCACAGTCGCCACCACCATGTCATTTCTGGGTTTTTTCGCCGGTACTGGGACCAGCTCGAGCCCCTTCCGTTTATTCTGTTCGATCATCTTGCTAGCGCTCGCGGTCTCCGCTCCTCCAAATAAAACCTCCGAGTTCTAAACACGCAGGCGAACCTTCGCTTTCCGTCGCAGAACGTGACGTAGTTGGCCCGGCGACGTCGCGTGGAGCCAGTTCACGTGACTTGCTGAGCTCTAAACACACGCATTCATGTGGGGATTGCTTCCTGAGCGCCCAAGCGAGGACTGCCAGGACACCGTATCCGAGATCTCTGTTACAAAAACCACTTTTGTTTTTTTTAAGAGAAACGTCTGCAGAGTGTTTAATGGTAATGAATACTCGTTCATATTAAATAGCAGAGAACACATTTGACAATGGGCAGTGTTGACTCTAGTGTTTATAACTCGAGCAGTCTCTTGTCTTGCCTGGTGGTTGATTGGAGACCAATGATGTGCTATATTACTGCATACATGAGTTAGGACCAGCTCTGTCCTCCGTGCTTTTAGCCAGAATTTATTTAGTGGGAAGTAACTTTAGAATGGATACTTGCTCAAAGTAAACCTTTGTGGCTACACCAGTAACACACATATGCTGTGATAGAGATGCATACAGGGTAGACCTGGCACTTTGTATAGAGATTAACCTACACTATACAAATGTGGTATTATTGTATCCTACTTATTGCAGTAATAGAATAAAACTTTTTTTCATTCTCATTAGAAACGTGAGACAAGACGTGGTTTGTTTGCTTTGTAATCAGATTGGGCTAATAGTAGTTGACCGGCAGGTCAAACCTCCTCTGGATGCATATTTCTTTTTTTTTTTATTAGGGTGGTAGATTAAAATATTGGTGTCTGTCGTGTCTTGTCAGAAATTTCTACTTCTACATCTTTTTATTGGTGTATGCGGTCTGCTTGTAAATGTTTTTTTCAACAAAAGGGTTTGTAAGCTCTCTACCTGTTGTATCGGTCTGTTCTTATTGTGTTGTCTTTCCCAATTGTACAGCGCTGCGGAATATTTTGGCGCTTTATAAATGCCAGTAATTATAATAATAATAAGCACATCAGCGTATTGGGAATTGTGCCAGATGCTGGTGTTTTTAACACTACAATATTAATATTGCAATTTCTAGTAAACTGCAATGTTTTACATATAATGACAGGACCAGTAGTGGTCTGGCTGATTTCAGCATTCTTTAAAAGACTACTATCGGTACCCAAACCATATCTTGTCAATGAAGTAGTAAAGGTGCCATATGTCCCTCCCCCTTAACCTTGCAGTTGAAAACATTGCTGTTCTGCAGCATTGTGGGGTTAACCTGCCACTAGACATACTTCTGTAAAATAGCAGAGTAAAACTGTTACTTTAGTCAGATGGCCTCAGAAAGCCTTCTGGTTGTCGCAGTGTTTTGCCAAGTTTTCTGCTTTAGCCTCCCAGTGCTTTCCTATGGAAAAGCATTGGATCCGTTGAGATCTCAATATTCAATGATCATTGTCAAAGAAGCGGAGCTTCCCTGACGAGACCAGCGAGGTAATAAAAAAGATGAGTTGCCATAACTTTATAATCATGGCAACCCAGTCACCTAAAAGGTGACTAAGGCACTATAGTAAGGAATACACATTTGTATTTCTAATGATATAGTGTTCTTTTAAAGGCACATGGAGATGAACACATCATGAATAAACTCGGTGTGCAGTATGGATAACATGGGTGGCAGAATTCTCTTCTGCTGATTAGAAAAGTTTGTGCAGATATAGACCGTGAAATCTGTTACGGTGTCTGTTTTTTGCTCCTTCCCTTGGGGTTTGCCTGCCTTTCAAAGATCTGTCACTCAATGAGAATTTTGACTGCTTTTACTAGGGATTGACCTATTATCGGTCTGGCCGATATTCTGTATTTTCGGCAATATCGGTATTGGCCAATAAAGATACCGATAATGCAGACCAGGGCCGGTCCTGGGGGGCCCGCAGCACACTCTTCCTTTCCTTCCCTTCATCTCCACTGTCTAACTCTCGCGAGTCCCACGGCCGTCAGTGCGTTGCCGCAGGTTACCATGGCAACGCTCCATGCGGCACGCAGACCGCGAGAGTTAGACAGGGGAGCTGCTGGGAAGGGAAGTAAGAGTGTTGCTGGGACTGCCCCGGGCCCCCCGGGGAATGCCATATCCCCCCTCCCTGGCCAGGTAAGAAGCAGGGAGGGGGACTAAAACAAAATGTAAAATAAATTGAATACATTTTTATTTAATTTTACACACATTACATACATAGACAACCACACTGCATTCATTATATACACACACTGCATTCATTATGTACACACAACACAAACTCACAACATTCACTATACACACACTACACAAACACACACTCTCTGCATTCATTATACACACACTACACAAAACACACAATCTGCGCGGAGAAGGCTTTCGACCGGGTGGACTGGCGATACCTCCTCGAAACGCTCAAGGCAATGGGGTTCGGGCCGAATATACTGCAGTGGATCTCTGCGCTATACACGGAACCGACTGCACAACTACGCATTAATGGGGTCCTGTCCACACCGATTCGGATGCGTAACGGGACGCGCCAGGGATGCCCACTTTCCCCCCTCCTGTTTGCCCTCTCTCTGGAGCCATTTCTTGAGGCGGTCAGACGGGACGGGGGCATTGCGGGGGTCACACAGGGGGACAGAACGCACAAGGTGGCGGCCATGCGGACGACCTCCTTTTCTTCGTGAGCAACCCATTGATCACCTTGCCCAACCTGCTGGCGGCCTTTGAGCGGTTCGGACGGATCTCTAACTTCAAATTGAACGCGGACAAGTCGGAGGCCCTCCCCATGTCTATACCCCCCGAGTTGGTCGAACGGCTGACAGGAGAATTCCCCTTTAAATGGTGCCACCAGCGCATAAAATATCTTGGGATCTGGTTAACTAGAGACCTGACGAAACTCTATCCAGAAAACTTTCTCCCGATTCTCCAAACGCTCCGTGCGGACTTGCTCAGATGGGGACGCCTATGCGTGTCGTGGTTTGGGAGGATCAATACAGTAAAGATGAATCTGTTGCCACGCTTGCTGTATCTTTTCCAGGCCATCGCGATCCCGCGAACATACTTCAACACCTTGGGCTCGGCGATACTGCGATTCGTCTGGGCGAAGGGACCGCCGAGGGTGAGAAAGACGCAACTGATACTCCCGAGACATCGTGGTGGAACAGCCCTACCGTCCCTACACGGATACTACCAGGCGACACACCTCTTACGAATTATAGAATGGCATGTTCCGGACTCGGACAAACAATGGGTCCATATGGAGCGGCTTCAGGCCGGGGGGCGTATTCCATCGATGGTATGGATACAAAACCCGACATGCGATGGTATCCTGCGGAACCACCCATTCATAGGCGCGACACTGAGAACATGGACTACCATCCGATTCAAGCTGCAGCTCACCACAAACCCGGCCCCCCTGACACCTGTGATACACAACCCGGACCTGGCGGGAGGCCTGACACAGGGGGACATTGAGGGACTGGGGGAGAGGACGAAACAATACCTTCGGGCCTGGTGTGCTAATAAAGCCCTAAAGCCGCTGGAAGACATGCTGGGCCAGACCAGGGAGACGGGGATCCTACGATTTAGGTACCACCAGATACGCCGGTACTATGCCACACTTCAAGGGAAACACCTAGCCCACCGAGACCTCACACACTTTGAAACGCTATGCGAAGGGGGAACGCACCCGACACGTGGGGTATCGATCCTATATGCCATGCTCCTGGGACCCCCGGCACACTTCCACTCAAAGTGGGAACAAGCAACAGGCGTCACCTTAACGGAACCACAATGGGAGCAAATACACGTTCTGTCCCACCAGGGGATACTTAGTTCTAAAATGCAGGAACTTAATTATAAACTCCTGACGCACTGGTACCGGACCCCCACACGACTCCATGCCATGGGGGTCGCCCCCGACAACAAGTGTTGGAGATGTGACATCGCCGAAGGGACGGCACTACACCTGTGGTGGTCTTGCCCTCGGATAGCCCCCTTCTGGCAACAGATCCATGTCAAAGTGGTGGACATCTTGGGGGAAGACATCCCCATGGAGTCCCTCCCTATGCTTTTAAACCACACTCAGATACCCCTGGGGCGTTACAAGAAAACCCTTATCAGACACTTTCTTAACGCAGCCAAAAGCCTCATCCCCGCCAGATAGAAATCGCCAGTTGTCCCAACCATTACTCAGTGGATAGAAAAGGTCGATGAACTTTATACTATGGAAATGCTTACGGCAGAACTCAGGGGCACGCAAGACCGCTGCACTCGCCTGTGGACACCGTGGATCATCTACAGCTCGGACCAGAGGTGGGGGCGGCCGAGGGCGGACCGTCTGAGGCCAAACGAGGAGGCGGAGTAGCGTGGGAGGAGGCTGGATCGCGGCCGCGCGGGACCCCCGCCTTCTCCCCCCCCCCTTTTTTTTTTTTTTCTCTCTTCTTCTTCTCTCACTCTCTCCCCACGCCCCAACGACGAAGCGAAGGTGACCGACAGGGGAGGAAAGGGGACCTTGACCGGAGTAAACGCATGATAGCCGCGGATAGTCGGCAGGCCGGAGACTGCCCAGCCAAGGTCAAATCAACAACCCATCTGAGGGGGGGGGGGTCCCGGGCATTACGCCCGTGCGACTCAGAATACCACCAAGGGAGGGCTCGCAGGGACTGCTTCTGGACCCGTGGGGACCATCACCCCCTGGTCGAGCCAGAGGGGCTTGGCTCCCACGCTGCAATCTAAACAAGGTACCGCACCTCACCAACTACAATATATGCCCACGCACACGGTGGAACACTTGCTAAACGCCGGACGAAAGGCAAGCCACAGCGACTCCGGCGGGCCCCACTATATAAGGCAAATAGGCTCGGGGTTGGTCAGGGAATGGTATTCCCCTATAAAGGAAGGTCCAACACAAAAGTCCACTAAGATCACTAGGTCTAAGAAGCGGAGAAATGAGGCCTGATCAAGACTGGGCGGGGGGTGGAGAGGGGGGGAAATTTACGAACGATACCCTAAAAATATTGTTGGACATAAGGTTTGGGGGCCTTGTGAAACTTGTTATACCGTGTCTCTTGTTACGATTTGACCTGTATTGTAACCTTACTACATACAAATAATGTAAAAAAAAAAAAAACACACAATCTGCATTCATTATATACACAAACATACACTGCATCCACTACACACACTGCATTCACTAATCAAATACTCTCAATGCATCCACTACACACACACATATTCTTGAAAACATAAACAATTCTGACTGGCATGTATATTTTGTGCATTTACCTTAATTAAAAAAAAAAAAAGATTTGCAAATCAATAAGTAATAGACATGTTCAGAAATAGTTTCTTTTTTCAAAATGGTAAATGTACAGAATATCGGTATCCGTAATTTATTGGCCTGAAAGTTCACAGATTATCGGTATCGGCTCTAAAAAAATCAATATTGGTCAATCCCCAGCTTTTACTGCATCATTCCTTGTTTTCCTGACAATCACTCATTGTCAGCTACCAGAGAGAGGCAGGGTGAGGAGATATGACTGGTGTATTAAAGGACCACTATAGTGCCAGTTTTCCTGGCACTATAGTGTTAATAGGTCCCCCCCCCACCCTCATGGGGTTGGAAGGAGTTAAACACATACCTTTCTCCAGCGTCAGGCTCCATTGGAGCTGGGACTGACAGTGGGAAGCACCTCTAGCGGCTGTCAAGGAGACTGCCACTAGAGGCTGGATTAACCCATATGTAAACATAGCAGTTTCGCTGAAACTGCTATGTGTACAGCAGGCAGGGTTAACCCTAGATGGACCTGGCACCCAGACCACTTCATTAAGCTGAAGTGGTCTGGGTGCCTATAGTGGTCCTTTAACTAAATGAATGATCATTTCCATCATATTATTGAACAGATAAGTTTTTAAAGACTTTACAAAAAACGGGCTAAAAAATAAATATTAGCAAAAATTAAGAAAAAAAATTCTCATCTTTATTTGCTTCCCACCTTTTTTTTTTTCCCAGAAATGACTGTACCAAAAATAAGAAAGTGGCTGAACCTTCTATACAAATGGTTGTCCTCGCATTGTTCTCATTAGGAACACAGGGTAGTGTAGTTTATCTTTCTGATTTCTAATGTAACCTGTACATTTCATGGCTGCAAGTAATTTAAAGGAGCGCTTCAAACACTATAACCTCTACAGCACACTGTGGTGGTCATGATTGTCCCCAACTGTATATAGTGAAACCACTGCAAGACTTATCTTATTGGCTGAGAACGATCAGCTAGCTCTCTCAGTCAATGACCTAGCCCTACATGACAGGGCTTAGCTCAAGGAGAGATATTGGAAGCTCCAAATTGAGGAATTTTCATGTTTTGGTTAGCTGTAGTGGAGGTGGGTGTGGTGCCTTGTGCACCCCAGGCAATGTGACAAAATTTGTACCCCTCTGCACATTTTATTCTAATGTATTTTCAAACTTTGTGTTCAATAAAGGACATCTCATATTGAGTGTTTTTGTCCCCCTTGTTGACCCAGCACTATGAAAGCATTTGCGCCCAAAAAGTCAAACGTTTTTGTATCTTGTGTTAAATTGGTTTAGCAGTAAAAGAACTTCAGTCAGTGAGAGGAGGAGGTAGAGATAAATTCATCTGGCATGAGGAATTGTTACACATATAAGCATTTTCATTTACCTACTTTATCACCAACCTCTCGCAAACCTGCTGGGTATATATTTTTCATTTTTTTTTCATACATTTAATTTCATTGGAAACCACTTTAGAGACCCCATATTTGTATTCTACCACTGCCCCCAAGTTCAACAGCACCCCGCATTTATACCTTTGCCAGGAGAGGTACAGCAACTTTGTTCAATCGTTTCAGCGTGCTGTGGGTGTCATCAGCATAGTGTACATTATACTCCTCCAGACACCATGAGTCCACGGTCTGGATTACCCTTTTAATTTAGGAAAAACCTCAGTAATTTCACTGCAACAAATAGTTGTTCCTATCACATTGTAGTAGTCTGTGTTGCCTGCTTAGAATGATTTTAACTATATAGTAGATAGTGAAGATGTTTCACTGGATGCATTTTGCAAAACATTACTTCTTATATTATTTTTCTTTATACTTAAAGGGACACTATAGTCACCAGTGCAACTACATGTATTCCTAACCCTATAGTGTTAACATGATCATCTAGCCCCCCTGTGTCCCTCATGCCTCCATAAATATAGTAAAAATCTTACTGTATTCAAGCCAGAAACTGTAAATCTGCATGCTGTTAGACTCAGGAAAAACAAGCAGTCTGCTGACATGTTATAGCCTGATCCAATCACAGTGCTTCCCTATAGGATTGGCTGAGACTGACAAGGAGGCAGATCAGGGCAGAGCTAGCATGATTAAAACACAGCCCTGGTCAATCAGCATCTGAGAGACCATCTGATTGCCACAGCATTTTCTGATGGGCAAGCATTGAATGATCTCAGCCAAAGAGGTCTTACCAGCTGCGGACAGATTTGTGGGATCCAAGGTAAGTTAACTCTCTAGGAGTTAACTTTTAACCCTTGTGAGGGTGGCTGGTTTTCATCTAAATTATGTTTGTTTGTATTCCTAACCCTATAGTGGTTATTTAAATCATGTTAAAAGTCTATTGAAAAATGTTAAATTAAGACCAAAGATGACCGTAAACAAAACTATTGCCTACTTAACCCTTTTTTTCTTTTTTTTCCCTTCTCCTCACAGGGTATTTATGTTTTAAAGTGACTAGTTTAAAACAACAGTTTTAATTCTGTTGTTGGCAAGCCATGGAAAATGTGCCAGAATTATATGAAATCTTCCAAGGAGAGGTAACTACTAAAGAATAGTTGTACATGGATTAAAATGTTACGTGCATTGCATTTGATCAGTGTTTTTAGTTCTCACTGATGTGAAATGTTCTCCCGTGTAACCTATGGTTGGTCCGCAGTGCCAAAGGTGTGATCATCCATAATCCTCTGGTGCTTGCCGGACTTATCGCTAGATTGACTTTTGTTGCAAATTTCCCAAGTGTAGCTCCTAAAGTGAGCTTTTAATCGGGTCAGTGATTGACTAACTAAAACCTTACAACCAATCCTAGTGGTTCTTAAGCTTTATATTTTATTTTAAATTTAACTTATGACATAAATCTATGTGTAGAAGGAGTCTATGGAATTTTAGTTCCTCTCTCAGCATTCTTTTGAAATATATACAGTCTGCCGTCAACCAGCCACTCTAAGCTTAACAAAACCCATGTCTAAACCTGTTTTAGAGAGGTTAAAGGGAAACTATAGTGCCAGGAAAACATAGTCGTTTTCCTTGCCATATAGCTTCCTTCATCCCTAGGCGCAGGTTTAAGTCGGCCTTTTCTACAACACCGCCAACATCAGACGGCGGGGAAGACCTAATGTGCATGAGCTAACTTGGTGATGTGCACTTTCAAAAGTACAGAAAAAAAGTGCTCAGTGTAACTAGGCGCTTAGTGGAAATGCTAATTAAAAACAGCAGCTCAACACACGTGCAGGTATCCCAATCCTACACAAACAGATATGTGAAAAAAGAGTGTGAACTTCGTAGATGTACTACCACCACAAAGATCACTCTGTGGAGCGCTAGAGATAGGGAAATATCTTACTCCTATATAAATATCGTATATATCACTTTAACAGCATATAAAATCTAGAACAGAGAAATACACATCATAGTGCAGAATGATTGTAAAATGTGTATGGAATGGAGGTGAGTGTAAGTCCAACTCACATGGCACAGAGCCTAAGGATTGGCTCAAATCACAACAGCTTGGGTATATTTAGGCAATACCAGACCTCCTCCCTATATGCAGCTCGCAGAATATATGGAAGAGAAAAGAGGTAGAATTCCTAGTGCAAATATGTATGGTAGGAAGAGTGATCACAAAAAAATCATATGAATGTGCTCACCTGAAATAGAGCCGATAATATTAGGCTCTATATATATGCGCCACTGTGCCTTTAAGGCAGGCACTACCCTTCTTTGATGAAATACAGGAAGCAGTAGAAGATCCACTCACAGGTATGTATATATAAAAATAACAAATTTATTTTAAAAAAAACAAAGTAATAGATAAAAGCTATAATCAGTAAAATACCAAAATAAAAGTCTCCAGAGTGGTCTTCCTCAAATCTGAAGACCGTAAAGCCAACTGTACATGCAAGTAGCTCGGCTCTTTGTCAGAGAGAGAGCATTCAGACGACATCATGTGTGCAGATAAAATTAATACAGGTAGCCCAGAAAACATACCGTATATACTCGAGTATAAGTCGAGTTTTTCAGCACATTTTTTGTGCTGAAAAACCCCCACTCGACTTATACTCGAGTCAGTGTCTGTATTATGGCAACTTACATTGCCATAATGCAGACCAAGACCGCCGGGCTCTTTACAAGCCCGGTGGTCCTGTTAGGGGCTGGCAGCGAGCTGTAACTTACCTTTCCTGCAGCTCCTGTCAATTCCCTCCTCCTGCGTTCCAGTCAGCTCCCCTGTCAGTTCCCACTGTAAGTTTTGTGAGAGCCACGGGATCAGGGCGTTGCCACGGATTACCGTGGCAACGCTCCGCGCAGCAGTCACACCGCAAGACTTACAGTGGGAGCTGACTGGAACGCAGGAGGAGGGAGCTGACAGGAGCTGCAGGAAAGGTAAGTTGCAGCTCGCTGCCAGCCCCCCTCTTGCACAGCCCATCCACTGGACCACCAGGGAATGAGAGCACCCCTCCCTGGCCAGCTAACAAGCAGGGAGGGGGGACAAAAATAAAATTAAATAATAATATAGAAAATATTAAAATATATATTTTTTAAATATTAAAAATAATAAAAATGCCCTCCCCCACCCAGTTCACACACACTCATACAAACACACACTGCATTATATACACACACTCATACAAACACACACTCATACAAACAAACACACTCTGCATTATATACACACACACACTCTGCATTATATACACACAGAGTGTGCGTATATAATGCAGAGTGTGTGTTTGTATGAGTGTGTGTGTGTATAATGCAGATTGTTTGTATGAGTATGTGTGTATAATGTAGATTGTTTGTAGGAGTGTGTGTGTGTGTGTTTGTGTGTATAATGCAGAGTGTGTGTTTGTATGAGTGTGTGTGTGTGTATAATTATAAAAATCACAGAATTTCATAGCCCCAAGTTTTACCCTTGACTTATCCATGAGACATAGCATATTTCACAATTGTTGGTCACAAAACTGCACTTGACTTATACATGAGTTCGACTTATACACGAGTATATACGGTAATGACTGACTGCTCTGCGTGGCTGTCTTATAGCTGCATTGATTTTAACAAATAACTGCAGCTATAAGTGACTCTCAGAACTGAGAGTGAGTGAAGGATATTATCTGCATCATAAACTTTGCAATAAGGTAGCGTTGCAATTGTGCTTGGATTACTTAAAAGGCTGTAACCCCTTAATGACCAGACCGTTTTTCAATTTCCTTACCGTTAAGGACCATTATTTTCATCATATCATATAATTTGCTATAAAATTTATTTTTTATAAAATACGATGAAAAAAAAAACCACACCTTTTCTAACTTTGACCCAAAAAATCTGTTACACATCTACAACCGCCAAAAAAACACCCATGCTAAATAGTTTCAAAATTTTGTCCCGAGTTTAGAAATACCCACTGTTAACATGTTCTTAGCTTTATTTTTTGCAAGTTACAGGGCAATAGTACAAGTAGCACTTTGCTATTTCCAAACCATTTTTTTTTCAGAATTAACTATAGTTACATTGTAACACTGATATTTGTCAGAAATCCCTGAATAACTCTTCACATGTATATATTTTTTTAAAAGAAGACAACTTAAGGTATTAAACTTGTGGTATTTTGACTATTTTCATGCAACCATTTTACCACCAATCTATGCCAAATTAAAATATAAAATTGCTGATTTTTTTTGACACACATAGCAATTTAAGAATACATGTACCGAGAACTTTAAGGGTTACTGCCAAAGAACACCACAATATGTGTTCAGCAATATCTCCTGAGTAGAGTGATACCACCCATGTATAGGTGTGTCGAGTTCTCTGGGGGCTAAAAGACCTTATTTGGAGGGTGCGCATTCCACTTTTCCCACTTGGAACTTTCACAACTAGTCATCTAGCACCTATGTCCCATTTGGGAAATTTTTTAAGTGGGCCAAGTTAAATAACCCCCATCAAACCGTATATTTTTGAAAAGTAGACACCCTGGGGTATTTCAAATGGTGGTATTCCAACACTTTCCATGCACTAATTCTACCACCAGTCTTTGTCAGACTTTTGGGTAGTCATTTTTTGTGTTCTTTTTCTCTCACATTGTACTTTAGGCATGGATTCTCAGTTCCTGTTATGTGTTACTCACAAAGAACACCCCAATTTGTGTTCAGCAACATCTCCTGAGTACAACAGTGCCAATGTACAGGTTTTATGGGTTTTTGCAAGCTTACAGGGGTCAAATGTAGGGCTTTTCCATTTTTGCACATTGGAATTTGCCAGATTGGTTTGTTGGGCCTATGTTGCCTTTGAGACTGTATGGCCCAGAAATTAGAATTAACTCCACCATGACATACCATTTGAAAAAGTAGACAACCCAGGCTATTCAAAATGTGGTAGGTCCAGTCTTTTGTAGTAGCCACTTAGCCACCACTGCTTTCCAAATTTAGCATTCATATTTCTTTTTTGCATATTTTTTTACACAAAAACTGCACTTTTACTGGTGACTTCATTGTCGTGATAAGTTCAACTGTTTTAAACACTCATATTTGTGTTCAGCGAAGTCTCCCGAGTATAACAATACCCCCCATGTAAAGATTTTATGGTGTTATGGAAAGTTACGGGGTTAAATATAGAGCTTGTCAATTAAATTCTCTGGACTGCCTGAGGTCCCTCAAAATATAATTAATTATGTAGTTAATAGTTAAATATATATGTAGAATGTGTGTGTGTGTGTGTGTGTGTATACACACACACACACACACACACACACACACACACACACACACACACACACACACACACACACACACACATATATCAGCCGCAGGGGGACTGCCTGGGATGCCAGGCAAGTCCCCACATCGCGATCGCCAGCAATCAGGTTAGTGTATAGTTTGCCGCGGATGTACCAGGTACGTCCGAGTTCGTTAGCAACCAGTTTTTTGTCGGACGTATCCGGTACGTCTGCAGTCGGGAAGGGTTTAAAGGGATTCTGTAGTGTACAAAGTTTTATTCCTTACACTATACTTCCCTCTGGCATGGAAAGGGTTCTTTGTTTACTCACCAAATTCCAGCGCCGATCTCCCTCAGTGCTGGGTCAGCATTCCACCTACTCTGACGTCATCCGATGGAAGAGGGCTAGTGCGAGAACATTACACTCCCTATAGTAAAGCATTGCTTCATTGCATTCCTATGGGGATTTTACTGATGCTGGACGTCCAGCATCAGTTAGGCGACCAAAAGTCGGTTAGCCAACATGAAGTGTCTGACAGCCACTAGAGGCAATCTTAGTACTGCAATTTAGTCACTGCAGGTTCTCTAAAACTGCAATGATATACTGGGACATTGCACCCAGACCACTTCAATGAGCTGAATTGTTGTAGGTGCCTATCATGTCCCATTAAAATAGATCTTCACTATATTTTATTTATGTTTATTTAGCTTGGTGATGAGCAAGCAGCCAGAAAATATTACTTGCTAATGGGATCAGCTGGGAGCTATGTGAATATTTTTTTCAAAATGTTCCCTGTAAGCTAAAATGTTTACTTCTTTGTGTAAGAGAACCAAAGATTTTTGATTTCGTTTTATCCTCAGGTTGCAACAATAACAGACTATGGAGCATTCATTAAAATTCCTGGATGTCGGAAGCAAGGTAAGCACCACTTAATACAGACACATACACCTTTAAAGAGAACTGCAGCTCAAATAGCCAGTTTTATCCACCCCTGCAAGAAGCCCCATTTACTGTGAAGATTGCAGATTAAAGGTACAGCCTGAGAATCAGAAGCTATTCTACCGGATTTCCTTCATCTATAGTTACTACATTATTAATTTACTATAACAATGTTACTATTTGTACCTGTAGTACACTCTAAAATTTTGTACTTGCAGTTACATGTAATTATTAATAATCTGGCTGATAGTATTTTGGCTGGCAAATATTGTAATTGTATTAGACAAATGGCAGGTCTGCTTAACCATTCACCCTTCCCCCTCCCCTCTCCCCCGTTTGCCACTACTAGCCATAAATTCCTTTAAATTCCTGTGATTCTCTACTCTTTAGGGCCAGTTTTACATCCACCCCTACAAGAAGCCCATTTAATTTTACGCGGCTCAACCCACCCACCCTGGTTCCTTCTACCTATATAGCCTGCTCTTCCAGCTGTTTGGAACCAGAGCCAATCACCTCCTCGTTCCCTTCACATGCTATCAGCTGCTGCAGTTATACCATTAACTCTCTATGCCATCTCATACAAATTCCTCTGTTACCTTAAGTTTCATCTCCACAGTTTAACCTTTAGAATGTAAGCTCACAGGGAGTGCCCTCTACCTGTTATATCGGTCTGTTCTTCTTGTGCTGTCTTTCCCAATTGTACAGCGCTGCGTAATATGTTTGGCACTTTATAAATACCAGTAATAAATAACTACCAATATTTTACTGGTTTTACATGCCAGTGGGATAAAAGGTTATTTCCCTTTCCATACAAAACAAAATTGACAAAACTCTATCAGGATTATTTACTAAAGTGAGAATTCAAAGTGAATTGCAAATTTAGAGGGACATCCAGACCACTTTATCTCATTGAGGCACTGTCCCTGTCCCCTTAACCCTTCAATCTAATCCATTGCAATGTTTGTATTGCCAGGCTAAGACGGTCTCTAGTGGATGTCTTCCAGACAGCCATTAGAGGCTATTCCTGCATCTACACAGAGTTTAACTCTGTGAAATGTTGCTGGACATCCTCATGCTGTTTTCTAGGGTAAACGGTGTCTTCAAATGCACCATAGGAAAGCTACAAACATTAACTGTGAAATCTCCAAGCACTAAATGCTTAATAGTATTGTATCCAATTAATTGTAGATATGAATGGAATATGTGCCAAATTTAGGGTTTTAGCAAGGGAAAAAGGGAGGGGGCGGCAGATAGTATTCCTTTAAAGCCAGAGTAGCCAATTTGAAAGCATAGCTGACATAGAGCAATATTCCAGTTTAGCTATTTTGACCTTAAATAGAAAATTCACCTGTGAATTCACTTTGCTTTATAACTTTAGTAAATAACCCTGTATATTATTATTTTTTTCTTAAACCTTAAGGACCAAGGCAATTGTCCAACTTTTAAACCAAAACAAAATGTAGAATTTGTACTAAAAATAAAAGTAGAAAAGACCTAGGGGCAAGGCAAGCTTGATCCCATAGTCAAAAATAGGACTGAGTGGGTAGAAACGGGCATGAACCCAGATACATCAAAAGAAGAAAGAGGATACCTCAGGGGGCTAAAGGAAGAACGGAGACAACGAGTGCAGACAGCATGCGAATATCTGTTCCCTAAAAGTCAAGGACTTACCCAAAACAAGAGTGGCAACTCAAAGGGCAAAAGATAAAATAAATATAAAAGTTTCTTTATTCAGTAATATGTTGTACTGCACAAAACATGTGAACTCGACAGACAAGAAACGTAAAAAGTGAAATGTGAAAAAAACAAGCGTGTTGGTGACTTAAAAAGGAAAGGATCTATGTAGCCTGTATGATATGTTTAGGAATGGCTGTTAATATACTGTTCAAATACAGAGTAGATCATATAGCCATATGAATGAACCTAATAAATTAGCTTTTAGAAACTAAGATTGGAGAGTAGTTACTAATAGGCATATGTAGCAACAAAGTAACAGGTGGTTGTATCCACTCAATTTGGAATCATCGATATAGCAGTTGGAGCAGGTGTGGAGGTGGAATTATATGGGAATAGATCCGTGGGGTATTTAGAGTAAATTCCTGAGATATATAACAACTTCAGGATAGAGGAAATATGTATGCCTTACAATTTAAGAGCTCAGTGTTCAAAAGTTGAGGGATAGAAATTTGCCTACAAAGAAATGCAAAGTCATGCAGATGTCTATGATCTTTAGGTTGAGTGTTATTCCCTGTTGGAGATAAATATCTGGGATTTCTGCAGCCAAACAAAGAGGAGAAAACTTAAGTGGATGTTGCACAAGTATAAATAACCCCCTAGGATCAAAACCTGCAGTTTCCCCAGTTAGACATTTAAATCCTAAATATAAATATCACACTGCATCCTTATTAAATAGCAGTTTTAGATTGAGTTTTCTATTTGGGGGCAGAAACACCTCCCTGGCTGTCAATCAAAAAGTACAGCTTTTTATTGATATTGTCACAAAATGACAGATTTGAGAGGCAGTGAGACCCTGTCAGATTCTTTTCACACTCTAAGTATCTGGGGCAGGCTGCAAATTACCATGGCTAAACATGATCTATATGTAGTGCTCACTTGGAGCGCTGCATACTGCTTATCTGTCAGTCTGAGGCAACTAAATATGACCAAAACCAACTAGAAGGGAGCCCCATGTATTGATTGGTACCTAGGTTTTCTCAGTGTGTGAGCAGGAATTTAACCCTGCTCTCACCAAAACAAAAGGACATTTCTGTTGGCATTAAAGCCACGCCATATTCAGTACGGCATGGAACCTCCTGACGGTGTTTGAGGTATTGAGTAAGCTGACTTTACAGAGAAACCGTTTTATTAATTAATTTATTTATTTTAAACTCTTCACAGGCCTTGTTCACAAAACACAAATGTCAGCTTCTCGGGTGGATGTTCCCTCAGAAATAGTGGATGTTGGTGAAAGAGTATGGGTGAAGGTTATTGCTAGAGAGGTATGACGAGTCTTATGTTGTTTTTGTTACATGTATTGCCTTTGAATTTATTCAATACAGATTTCCTTTATGACCATGTATATCATGGTTCTTAGTCACAAATTTGTATACAATCATGCCTATTTTTACATCAATATTCCTGTGTGATAAAGTGAGCCTTAAAGTGGCAGTATATCTTTTGACTTTGTTGGAATTTCAGTGATTTAATCTTCATGAAATACTCATTTTGTGGAACGGGAGAGTGACAGTGTCGCTTTTTATCTTTGTCATTTGTTAAATTGTTATTGATAAATGTCATATATAACTGGAAGATAATCAATATGATCTAGTAAATATGTACTAAACAGTTAATTCCATAGGGAAACATTTATTAGAATAATAGACTGGATAGACACACTTTATTAAAGTTGTGGTGACTCTAAGAAGTGATGAAAATTGTTTACTGGTTTAATAAAATATTAAATTAAAGCGGCACTATCACAGTTTAGGAACTTTGCCGAATTTTTAAAGCCCCTGACTGTGACATTGCTGCTGGGGTCCAATCACGGACGCTGCCATCCTGCAGTAATGTCACTGCTGTACTTTTGCGTATGTGAGGGGGGAGGGGATTTGACAGTGCTGCTTTAGTTGGTTAATGTTTTGTTTTGTACCAATAGCTGTATGCGTTTGTGAGACCTCACTATATCCTCTTGTGAAAATTAACTTATTTCTAGACAAAAGATGGAAAGGAAAAAATTTCCCTGTCTATGAAGGTTGTTCACCAAGGAACTGGGAAAGATCTGGATTCAAACAATGTAGCGCTGGAGTAGGTGAACACTTTTTATTATTAGTTTTCTTTATTTGCTATATTACTTTTTTTTTTCCTTTGCTTTTTCTCTCTTGTTTTCTACATCACTCACATTATGGTACAAAAAGTGCCTTGCATAGATAACGCATTCCATTCTCACATTTGCAACTCTCATCAAACCACGAAGTGAATGCAGACTTAAATAAATACTTTAAGCATAAATTCTATGAAGCATAGTTACATAGGCTAAAAAAAGCGTTGCGTCCATTAACTTCACCCATTCTCACATCTTTCTGCAGATGGTGTACAGATCAAGCTCCTGTAGTGTCACTGCTTAATTCTCTGCCATTTATGATTTAAAACCCTGAAACATTAATACTGAATGGGAAAAGTAAGAGTGATATCAAATTAATAAGACTGCACATCTGGGTAATTTGTTAATCATTGGAGATTTTAATTATCTAAGCATTAGCTGGGCCAGCAGAACTACTATTACAGTTAATGGAAAAAAGGTTTTTGAATCTGTCACGTGACCCTTTCATGCCTCAAATAGTAGAAGCACCAACTAGACTAGATTAGTGTAATACCTAATATTTTGTAGCTATTTTAATAACTAATAATATTGACCTCTTTTTCAAATATTCATGTTAGGGAGCACTTGGAAAAGAGTGGACCTAATATGGTGTCATTTGAAGTCAACTCAAAAATACATTTATGTAGGCTTGGCGAAATGTTTAATTTTAATAGGATAATCTTTGCAACTAATATGTAAGATGTAAGGCATCTTTGCAACTAATTGACTGGCAGGAACTGATCACTGGCAAACGCACAGAGGATTAATGGAATGTATTTAAAGCGGCACTGTCATGCCGAATTCTGTTTTTTTTTTAACCCCTCTCCCGTCTCCACTACATCCAATTGACCCACTAGTCACCCCCAAATGCCCCTAAGCCCC